GGAGAAGCAGACTCCCTGCTGAGCTGGGAGCCCAATGTGGGACTCAATCCTAAGACTCTAGGATCATGACCTGAGCTGAAGGCAGTCACTTAACCAACTGAGCCACCCAGGCACCCCTGTCTGGGAAACTCTTTATCTCCCCTTCTATTCTAAATGATAGCCTTGCTGGATATTTTTTTTTTTTTTTGAAGATTTTATTTATTTGACAGAGAGAGACACAGCGAGAGAGGGAACACAAGCAGGGGTAGTGGGGGAAGGAGAAGCAGGCTCCCCGCCTAGCAGGGAGCCTGATGCAGGGCTCGATCCCAGGACCCTGGGATCATGACCTGAGCCAAAGGCAGACGCTTAACGACTGAGCCACCCAGGCGCCTGTGGATAGAGTATTCTAGACTGAAGATTTTTCCTATTCAGCACTTTGAATATATCATGCCACTCTCTTCTGGGTTGCAAGGTTTTTGCTGAAAAATCTGCTGATAGCCTTATGGGGCTTTCCCCTTGTATGTAACTGCCTGTTCTTGCTGCTTTTAAGATATGTTGTTTTTTTTTAATCACTACTTTTTGCCATTTTAATTACACTATGTCTTGGTGTGAATCTGCTTTTGTTGCTTTTATTGGGCATTCACTGTGCCTCCTGGATGTGAATATCTGTTTCCTTCCCCAAACTAGGTAAGTTTTCAGCTATTATTTCCTCAAATAAATTCTTCTTCCCCTTTGATTTCTCTTCCTCTTCTGGGACACCTATAATATGAAGGTTATTACATTTGATGGAGCCACTGAGTTCCCTATATCTATTCCAATTTTGCAAAATTCTTTTTTCTCTCTTTTGTTCAGCTTGATTATTTTCCATTACTTTGTCTTTTGGTCATTAATTCGCTCCTCTGCTTCTTCCATCCTGCTATTCATTCCATCAAGTGTATTTCTCATTTCATTTATTGAGCCCTTTATTTCTGCTATGTTATTCCTTATCTCTGTATTAAGTACTTTACTCATGTCTTCTACTCTTTTCTCACATCCAGTGAGTATCCTTATGATCATTGCTTTAAGTACCCCATCAGGCATGTTACTTATATCTGCTTTACTTAGATCTCTGGCTGTGGTGTTGTCTTTTTCTTTTTTCTTTTCTCCCTCCCTCCCTCTTTCTTTCTCTCTTTTTCCCTCCCTCCCTTCTTGTCTTTCCTTTTCTTTTGGTTTTTCTTTCATTTGCAACAAATTTCTCTATCTTCACATTTTGTCTCTGTCTGTTTCTCTGTGTTAGGAAAGTCAGCTACATCTCCTGTTCTTGAGGGTAATGGCCTTATGAAGAAGTCCTGTACTGCCCTGCTATGTACTGTCCCCAGTTCCCCAGGGCCTGGTGCTTCTGGGAATGTCACCAATGTGTGCTGCATGTGCTGTGCTGTTTTATCCTAGCTGTTACATCCTTTAGGCCAGTCATCTTCAGAGGCTATCTTTGCCTTTTGTGAGCAGTACTTGGCCCCTGACCTGAATGTAGTACATTTTAACGAGGCGTGCTCTGGTCTGCTTGTGAATAAGACCTGTCACCACTGCTGTCTGAACAGGGGCTCCACAAAACTCCTGAGTCAGGAGACACAGTGTAAGCAGAAGTTTAGACCGGTCTTCAGGGGGAGGGGACTCGCCAACCTGAGACTGAGGCAAGTGTGACGGGGAAGGGCAGTTCCACAGGAGTAAAGGCACTTGAAGGGGGGCTTGGTATAAGCAAATTAGGTAGCAAGTGTGGGTGCTGCACTGATTCCCACAGGTGGCCCTGTGCTCATGCTGAGGGATGGGTGAGGGAAATGGTGTCAGTCAGTTCTGTGTTCCTGGAGGGGTCTCTCCTTGAACTCTGCTTCTCTGGGATGTGCTCTGAGGTGAGCAAGTAACCTCTGTACTGTGTCCCCGAGGTGCTCTTCAGATTGCTGTTTCCACACTGTATGTCATGCGTTGTTTGCCTACCTTCTAAGAGCAGTGCAATGCCCTCTGGGCTCTATCCCAGCCATGCCCACTGACCTTTAGAATTCCAGTCTTTAAGTCCACTGGTTGCAAGAACTCCCAAAATTCAGCCCCTCTCACTTGCCAAGCCAATTGCTATGGGAATTCATTTTCCCTGTGGGCTCCCTGGTGTGACGGTTATTAGTCTGTCTCTCACCCTTCTCTGCCACTGTGGCTCTCTCCCCACCACAGCAGCCATGATCTCTTTCTCTCCCAAACCGCATCTCTGCACTTACCACCTTCTTCAATGTGGCCTCTTCTCTACTTTTAGTTGTGTAGTTTGTTCTGCAACTCTTCAGGTCAATTTCTGGGGTATTTAGGATGATCTGACAGTTACCTAGTTGTATTTGTAGGATAAGGTGAGCCTAGCGTCCTCCTACTCTGCCATCTTCCAACCTCTCCCTGTACTTCTGATATTTTTAATAGTTCACTCTGGTGATATTGTCAAAGATGGATTTGGTGCAGGTAAGAAAAAGTAGACTCGTTAGGAAATAACTGAAATAGTCTAAAAAGAAATAATGAAGGCCAGAATATCCCTACCAGTGGTGGTAGGAATGGACAATGCATTTCACATCTTTTGGAAACTGAGTGGATAGAGGCACCATGAACTAGGATTGAGAAGAAAGATGAATGAGCAAGTTTGAGGTTAGTTTTGGTTATATTATACTTGAGGGTATATAGGCAGTCAAAGGAGAGATGTTTAACAGGCACTTTGACAAAAGCCTGAAGCTTGAGGAGTGGTCAGAGCTGGAAGTCAGCATATAACAATACTTAGAAATGTCAATGGATGAGATCACCAAAGATGGCATGTACAGTACTAAGAACAGTGGACCCAGGACAACAGAAAACATCAATTTTTAGAGGCAAGCAGAACAAGAATAGACCTCAAAGAAAGAAAAGAAGTAACTAGAGGTAGGAGGAGGAGGAGACAGAATGGTGTCATGGAAGCCAGGCTTATTAGTCAGGTTAAGGAAAGGTTGATAAGTCTTTGTCTTCCATAGCAGCAAGCTCATACATAATGCTGAAAACTAAAAATTTATTATCTATAGAGTGTGTTATCTGGGGATACAGAAGCAAATGCCAAGAAATCAGCTAAGATTTAAAAATGCTTGCTCTGAGGGGAAAAATGGGAGGTGAGGGGTTTGAAACTATGGCTGACCTTTGAACAAAGCATGGGTTAGGGGTGACAACCCCTCAACTCAGTTGAGTAACTGCATATAATTTTTGACTCCCCAGAAACTTAATTATTTTCATAGTCTACTGCTGATCAGAAGCCTTACTGGTAACAGAAACCATCAATTGATACATATTTCGTATGCTATAGGTATTGTATACTGTATCCTTACAATAAAGTAGTCTAGACAAAAAGAAGTATCAGGACAATCATAAAGAAAATACATCTATAGTACTGTACTTATGGGAAAAAATCTGCCTGTAAGTGGACCCATGCAGTTCAAACCCATGTTGTTCAACTGTATTAATTTCTCTTAAGGAACCCTTTACGCTAGGTACAAATAAATAAAACAAAAACTCTTAAGTACAGGGAGAAGAGACCAGAATTAGTGATTCATTGTGTATAAAAGTTTTAGGGTTTAATTAGTCACAAATGCAATATGATCCAGGAGATATGGCCACCAAACAAGTCAACATAAACTGTAATTACCAAGTTTTAGACTCCCATCCAAATAAGAAATTGAATTTCTATGATCATATCAGAAACACACAATTCAATTCTGGGTATCATGTTTTAAGAGGGTCCAAATCCTATCTTTCACACTCATCCTTTATATCCTAAAGCCCCTACCTTAATTCCAGCTCTTAACATGTCTTATACCTAGATCAAGCCAAGAGTACCCTAACTGGTCTTTTTGGCTCCAAGCTACTCTACACCTTGTATCCAAATTAATTTTCTGAAAATCTGGTTTGTTCATATCACTCTCCTCAATCTTTAACAGAAACTATCTTTAACAGTTTCCTATTACCCAGCTTCTCTGCAGGACATTTAAGATCTTTTACAAGCTGATCCCAAATTAACTCTTTAACTTAATGTCCTGCTGCTTTCTCAAATGGTTTATCAACTCCAGTCAGTGTGAGGTACTCACTGTACCCTGCGCACATCATACCTCTTATAATACCTCTACTTCTGTGCCTTAGTTCCTTGTGTCCTTGCTCCCATTATTCTTCAAGCCTGCTCTTCGCTGCTTATATGGGCACCATTTTTTTAATTTTATTTTTTATTGTTATGTTAATCACCATTACATCATTAGTTTTTGATGTAGTGTTCCATGATTCATTGTTTGCATATAACACCCAGTGCTCCACGCAGAACGTGCATATGGGCACCATTTATATGTCAAGCAAGTGCCATGCTTTCTCTAGGGCTTTCCCTAGTCTCTTTTACTGCAGGGACATCTTTGTCCTCTGGACTTCCACAGTGCTTCCCATTATGTCAGTCGCTTCCCAAATACCACATACAGAATGCATTTGTACCATTAACTACCTTTTAAAAGTACAAGGGGCGCCTGGGTTGAGCGTCCTACTCATGATTTCAGCTCAGGTCATGATCTTGGGGTCATGAGATTGGGCCCAGCCTCGGGTTCTGCACTCAGCACAGAGTCTGCCCGAGAGTCTCTCCTTCTCCCTCTGCCTCTTCCCTTGCTCATGTGCTCTCTCAAATAAACAAACAAAATCTTTTAAAAATAAAAGTACCTTTTGTAAGTATCAGTTGTATTGAAAGCCATGACCTTAAAATGGCCAACAATATTTATCACATTGAGATAGTCACCAAGCCTCAATTTATACTTTTAAGGACATTAAAACATAATCTACTCCTTTAAGCATAGTGAGTGTTTTTCAACATTCTGCACATGTCTCTACTGCAGCACATATCATAATATCTGGATTTTATTAAACTGAATCCCCCTTTTCCACCTCACTACCTGGGTGTTACATGGAGGCAAGGATTTCTGGCAGAATAGATATGGAATCAACATTTCATGAATCTAATTACTCACCCCACTGGCAGTTCTGATGGGTTTTGCCTTTAATTTGGGGACTAAGACCTTTCGATACTGAGGTGGGACCGCAGCGATGATATCCACCAGGCGGGGCTGTGCTGAAAGGCCGTATTTGGCAGCTGTCCTGGTTTTTACCCTGGAAGTAAAGCATCTAGCATTATCAAGATCATAGTATTTCAAGGCATACTACCAAAAGAATGACCTACAAATAACATCAACTCCTGTCACTCCCCAATCTTTTCACCCAGTGACAACAGTGGCATTAACATTTGTGAGTATCAGAAAAATAGAAGAAAATCAGGAAAACATATCAATGACTTCTTCTTACTCCGGAGTACCAGAAAGAAAACAAGATGACTACAGGGAAGGTCCCAGCACAGTGACACAAGGTAGGTCTCATTCAACAAAGTGCTCTAGCTTCACAGCGTTCTACCTTTTTCTCAACCTCAACACTACAGCATCTGGGGTTAATTCTGTCATAAGGGACTGTTTATTACACTGTAGGATGTTTAGGAGCTTCATTGGCCTCTACCCACCAGCACCCCACTTCCCATTGTTAACAACTAAAAATGTCTCCTGGGTGGGTGGGTGGGTGGTATCATGCCTGGTTGTGAGCTATGGTCTTAGACCAGACAAACAAACAAAAAACAATTTAAAGGAAAGGTGTACAGAACCAAATAGTAAATAAAGTATGTATATTTTTAAAGTGTTTTAAAACTTTTTCTAACATAAAATAATATATACATAAAAAACAGAACATAAAACATACAAACATACTTTAAAATTTATGAAGCAAACACTTGTGTTACTACATTCCAAGGAACAGAATATGATCAGCACTTCAGAAAACCCATTTGCCCCTTCCTGACTATAACTTTATCCCTAATCCCTAGAAATAACCTTCAGCCCAACTAATAATTCCTTGCTTTTCTCTATAATTTTATTGGTTTCTTGTTTCTTGGTGCTAGCAAACCCTAACAGTCACCTTAATTTCTCATTTTAATCCAACTAAAAATATTGTGAAGTATTTGCATCATTTTCAAAAAATGTTAACTCAGTACCTGATTTGTAAAGAGTACAAGTACTTGGTATGCCAGAAGGTATAAGGCATAGTTGTTTCATGCTCTATGTTTGTATGCTGCTATGTTTTCAGATAGGCATTCACAAAAATAAATATGTAAGTGATAAAAATATATGTGATAAAACACACATACAATAATGAACGTGTCCAGAGTTCAAGAGAGGAACTCAATGGGTGCTGGGGAGACAGTCATGGAAAACGGGCACAGAAAAGAGTTGGCTTCAGACAGGCAGTGAAGACATGGAGATGCCACTGAGAACAAATAGGCTGGCTTACGTGAAGACACAAAAACAGGAATGCACATATTTTAGGATACATGGGTAGACTTGATATAAAGCAGACACTTTCAATGTAAAGGTACAGAAATTTAAAAAGTTGGGCAAGTTGAAGCCAGACCAAGAGGCCTTACATAAGGGGCTGAGGAATTTGCATTTAATTTCATATATGTTGGGGACATACTGAAAATTCCTGTACAGGGCAATGACATGATAAAAGACAAGAACAAGGAACAATTAACCCAGCAAGAGATATAGACTGAAAGCATAAGCTACTGCAGTAGTCTAGAATTAAGTTCAAAATGGGATGAACTAGGGAGTTAGTAGTGCAAATGAAAGGGAGAGACATAATGAAGAGGGAGTAGGCAAAATTTAAATATTAATTGGAACTAACAAAAACAATTTGAAGAGGACACTAGAGTTTCAAGCCTGGGTGAAGGTTAATACAATTAAGCAAAGAGGACATCTGCATAGAGGCTTGTTCTCAGGAAGATGTTAGCATAAACTTTAGATGTGCTAAATTAAAGAGACTGACAAAAAATACAAGAAGAAGAAATGTTCACTAGAAATAAAAGACTTTTGTATAATTAGCGGTATAGCCAACAATGACAGAAAAGCAACTTCTAAAGACAGGATAGAAAAATCAGTAAAACATAACTCCACAGTCAAGAAAGGATATTTAAGTAACTTATTTATTCCTTTAGCAAAAGTTTATTAAGTGCAATATTCCAAGGAAGTGATAAAACACTGTAGTATCTCAAGCAACAAGAAACAGTCTTAAAAAGGCCTCGCTGTGGTGATTTAGATCACTGATGACCTACCTGGGAGTGGGGAGAAAACCCTTTCATTAAAGCAGATCTACATAGTGAATATCTAATGGAAACAAAAGAAGCAGAGATGAAAGACTACTCTTAACTGAGCATGTAGCAAAGTCAAAACTGAACATGACTGTGGAAAGGAAACAGATGAACAGGTCAAAAAGGCTATAAAGTAGGAAAGGGTTGGATTAGATCAAAGACGCCAAAGGCAGGGTTTTCCTAAGAGAGCTACTGCTTCTTCTGAGACAGGAGGAAGGGAACAAGGATGTGAAGTGATGCAGCAAAGAAGATAACAGGGGCTCTGAGACAGATGATCTAATTCCAAATCCCAGTTCTGCCAATTACTAGTTCTTTACTTTTAGACAAATTATCTAATCTTCCTCTGTCTTGTACCCAACTGTCAAGTGAGGGTGATATAAGTACCTAACTCACACAGTTTTTGAGAGGACCACCTGAACTAATACAATGCACTACTAATAGTGATTGGGACATAGTAAGCGCCCAATAAATATTAGAAGCTATTAGTATTCTTAGGCTGTGATAGAATTTTGCCATAAATGAGTGACAGGGCAGAGCAGAAAGCTAAGTTCTCAATTAAAATATAAAACCATGAGATAGAAAACAAGTCATATTTGATAATTTCAATAAAAAGATCTACCACCTAAGAACAGGACTGCCTTCTTTGTTTTATAAATCAACTTACTTATTCAGATCAATGTCTTTCCCCTGTTCGTGGGCTTCAATTAGTTGTTTAATAACATCTCCTATAGTCAGCATCATCAGCTCAGCAGGGCTGAGATCTCCTGGAAAAATAATATTTAACAATGTAAAAAATCATATAACCCAGTAAAGTTTTTTGCATTTATTTTTTTTCTTCCAAAATTATTCCAACCATCCCAGATGAACAGCTCAAGTTTACAAGACACCAAACTTCCACTGTTTACAGTTTGAGTATATCTTTTGTACCCTTAATAAAACAAACCTGCTTCATCTATATATGGGGAGAAGTCACTTTAGAAGTACAAACATTGTAAGAATGATAGATACAGTAAAGAACAGAGACAAACATGATGAGAAAGAACCTAATTGTACAAGAAAGCATCAAAGTGGTTAAAATAGCTTCCATTTAACTCCAGAATTATAATGATATTTAGATGCATTATTTCATATCTCAGAATGCAGTAGATAGGAATATTTGCTAGTCACACAAAAATGCCACCAAGGGGTGAAGTTGAAACTCAAATCCAGGTATCCACAGATGTAATATTACAAAGCAATGCAATGCTCCTTTGTAATACAAAGAATGCTGGTTCTATACTTGCCTAGGGATCTAAGATATAGTCTGTCCACTATCATGACCTTCTGGCAACTGTGGCTGACATGACAAGCAGAAGCCGACATGTTCTTACATGACTTACATGACTTCATCATTCAACAGATTGGTTCAAGGATAGGCACCTACCCAAGTCAGGCCAATCTGAGCTCTTTCCTTATGGCAAAAAATGCCACTCTCCCACCAGTGATATGGCTTGGGAACTGCCACCAAGCATACTTCCAGCCTATAGAGAAAGCTAGCATGCAGAGACGATGGAGTCATCAGAGAGAAGAATAGATGAGAAAGCCCTGGCAGTAATGGAGCCCCTTTATTTATTTTATCTCATTTGAAACCTCACAACACTGTATGGTAGATGGTCTCAGCCCCCTTTACAGGTGTTAAAAATTAAGGGAAGTTAAGATGCCATTGTAAATGGAATAGTTACAACTCAAATCCAGGTGTTTTCTCCACAAGTTCCACGCTTTTTTCTCTGTACTAAGCTGCCTCTAACTTAATGAAGCAAAGTTAACACACACAATGTTGAGGGGAAAAAAGTCCATCTATAATCAAAAGCTAAATGCTTTCAAAACCACGTAATTCAGAGTTCCAAAAAGGCGCTTCAAGCACCATGTAACAGAGGTAGGGTTGGTGGTGGTGCTGGAAGAAGAGGGAGAGGGAGGAGAGGAAGGAAAAGGAGGGTCTCTTTCTTCATTAAACCAAAGTAGCTTGGCTTTTGCATCTGTAATATATTGAAGCTCTATGTAATAATTTGGAGAGGAGAAGAGGATTCAGGTGATAAAAACAGATAAAGATTTGAAAACCACATATACAGCTCTTGAGTATAAAAAAATTAACTAGAGAAGCAAATTAGTAAGAAAAAGCTTCATGGAGGAAACAGCAGAGGGGACTTTAAAGAAAGGAAAGGAGTGGACAAGCGAAACAGAGGACAATCCAGAAGGAACAATGTCAGGTATAGGAATTATCTATCTTTGTGTAAAGGAGTGTTGCCTAACAAGAATACAGCTTTCTGACGAGGTTCAATAAAAAAACAGATTACAGGATACACTGACTACTAGGCAAAGGCATTTAAATGGAGTGGAGAATAATATATTCTCAAGTTTGGGAGTAAAAAAATCAAAGTAGTGTTTAAAAAAAAGTACATAAAGAAGATGATACAAAAATGATTCAGAAGGTAAAAAGAATACATAGAATTTGATACTAAATAAAAGGCTCTTGAAAGGCAATAATGTAAAACCCCCACAAGATTTAAAAGTAAACTAATAATGTAATAATGTATGGTGATTAACATAACAATAAAAAATTTAAAAAAAAAAAGTAAAAATCTTGGACATTAGGCTCCCATCCCTAGCTCCCAATCCCTACTGGCTGTGTGATAATGGGAAAATCAAAGACTTCTGTATTCCCATTTCCATGCCTGCCAAATTGGGATAAAACATACACATTTGACCAAGACTATTGTAAGAATCAATTGAAATAACGTATAGGAAAGCCAAAGTAGTATTCAAATATTAGTTATTGATGAAGGTGGATTAGGAGGATGATGGCCAAAATGATGAGTAATAAACTATTTCAAGAGGCAGGGCTTAGTGATAGATGAAGTGAAGAGTGGGAAGCTGTCTGGCCTAAAAGTCTGAGGAAGAGCAATGCAGAAGAAGATGACTAACTGGGGGCATGTAGTGTGATGCCACAAGACAACTGAAAGTAACCTGGACATTTGGAGCTGTTGTTCTAGGAAATGGTAGTGGATGCCCAGAGGCACAGTGATTAAAGACAGATTTAAAAGAAAAAATTGTGGGTTTTTGGGTGCAGACAGCCTGACCATCAGTTCCACTTCCTACGTATAATTTTGGGCTGGGTAAGTTACTTAACTCTTTGAATCTCCCGCGGGAAAGATTCCACTTTCCATCACAGTGGAAATGGTATCGATTTCAAATTTCTTAGCAAAGGCTCAATAAATAGTAGCTATTATTATCATAGCCATCAATCATGATTAGACCGACTGCTCACATGAGTATACAGAAATAAGTTTAGAACTTGTGAGAAAATACTTACAAATTTGATAGCATCCTGTTGAAAACGAAAGATGGAATTGCACCATGCTAATTCAGGAGGTAGTATAAACGAAAATAACTACACAACTGTCCCACAGAAAACCAAGAACTCAGAGTTTTTCTTTTGTTTTTTTAACCCAGATCTTAAACGAAAATCTAAAAAAAAATAGGTGAAATGTACCATAAAACAAATTTTAGCAAATTAAGAGACCCGAGAGCACGTTGAATCGACCGACAACATTAACTCTTTGGAGAGCATACCTCGGAACAAAGCTTTTCCTGCCATCTACACAAAAGACACCGAGTGACTGCCAAAAAGGAAAAGGGTAGGCTGGTTTAAAAAGCACAACAGGTAAAACGAGAAGGCAAGGGGCTGGAGCCACACACGGACTGACCCTAGGGTGGCAGGGCGACTGGCTCAGAGGATTCCCGCGGGAAAAACTGCGTTCAGCACCTGACCGCGCAGGTGTTCGCCCCTTCCCTATCACCCCTCTTGCCCCCTCTTCCTCTCCCTCCCTTCCGTACCTTTCCGCTTCTGCTTCATTTCTCCGCGGCCGTAGTATCTGCTACCACACACAAGGTAGCCACCAACTCGGACCTCGGGGAAAGTTGACAGCCACAAAGCAACCCCAGCGTGTCGTAAAATGACGGTCAACGTATCGTAAAGCTATTCCCAAAAGACGGCGAGCGCAAAGTCCTGACCCGCTCCCCAGCGGCGGCTCGCGAAGCTGCAGGAGGCGGGGAAGATGGGCCGCCGAGGCAAAGAAGAGGTTGGGCGTTGGAAAGCTCGACCTGGATAGTAGAGCGACCGGACAATGCTTATGAATAGGGGCTAGGATAGCAAGCCTAAATGGGAGTGTGGATGTGGGTGGTCTCTAAATAAGAAGCCCAGGGCGCGCCGGAGTGGGAGATAGTCTGAGGACGAGCCATCTAGTGTGATGGAAACTAAATCGGAACCTGGAAGAAACCATGCAGGAATCGAGTAACAATCTGAGGTGCGGGCTTTGACGCCAATTAATCATCTTAGTCTCAGATGAATGGCACAAATTATCGATAAACATCATGAAAGCTATGGAGATCTCTCCAGAAAAACTAGCACACGCACGAAGTTTTGCAGTTTGGAGGCAGGACTTGGGAAAACGTTTTCCTGAAACCCATCTGTGATCTTTGTTCATGGGCCAGAAATTTAGAACTCCTCTCATTAAGAAAAAGACAGGAATAGGTGCTGTTTCCAGTTCCTTTCTTCCCACTAGAATTGAGGCGACCCCAAGTCTTTGAACCCACCATGACACTGAAACCGTCCTGGTCAAGTTTTGTGCCTTCCCATCAGACCAAATTCAGGAGTATTTTTCTGTCCTTATTGTCATCCTGGTACCAATGGACATGTTAGCTTCGTTGAAAGTCTTTCATGATAGGACCCTCCACACTCTTGATTTTTCTTCTATTTTTTCTTATCTCTTTTGGTGGACTCCTCCTCTATCTCACTTCAACATACTGGTGTACCACGGACTTCACTTCTCATCCTTGTCTCTCCCAAGGTGATCCCCAGAGTATCAAAACTTCAAACACCATCTATCTGCTCCCATTTTTATAGGACAGCTCCAACTTCTTCCCCATTTGACATCTGGTTAGATCTGGGTGTCTAGATTCAGGCATCTCAAACAACATGTCCAAAACAGAACTCTGTTTTTACTCCAATCTGCTCATTTCCCACTCTTCCTTATCTGAAGTCACCACCATCCACTTTATCACTCTTTTGCCTCACAGAAGAGAACAAGTGAGGTGAGTAGTACAGTGGTAAATTTTAAAATGAGGTTAGGGTAGGCCTTATTGGGAATGTGATATTTGAGCTAATGTTTGATATGCAGATATCAGGGGGAAGAGTGTTTCAGGTAAAAGGAATGGTTAGTGCAAAGGTCCTGGGGTGCGAGGATGCCTGGTTGTTCACGGAAAGTAAGGAGGCCAGCAACAATGGAGCACTTAGTGAGGGATGTGTAATAGAGAAGTGATGGGGTGGGGTGGGGGACAGAGCAGTTTATATAAGACCCCCATTGTAAAACCTTTGGCTTTTACTCTAAATGATGTGGGAAGCTGTTGGAGAGTTTTTAGCAGAGATGTGATCTGATTTATAATTTAAAATTATCTCTATTTGCTGTGTTGGGAATAGACTGGGAGGTGGGGACAGGCAGAAGAAGGGAGATCAGTTAGGTAGCTATTATCATACCTTTGCTGCAGATTCCCAAACTTGGCTGCACATTAGAATCACCTAGAGAGTAGTGAAAAATCCCAGCACCTGGATCACATCCCATACCAATTAAATAAAAATAAATATCAAGTGGTGGGAGCCAGTCAGGTTTTAAAGATCCTTGGGTGATTCCAATGGGCAGCAAAGTTTGAGAACTACTGAACGAGTCCAGAAATGATTATAACTTGAGTCAGGGTAGTAGGCTGTGGAAGTGATGAGAAGTGTTCAGAACCTGAAAATATTTTGAAGATTTCAAGAAGCTTTCCCAACCAACCAGATGTGGGATATAAGAGAAAGAAAGACATCAACATCAAGGGTGACACCGAAGCTTTTGGACAAAGGGACTGGAACCATGTAGTTGCCATTAGCTGAAATGAATAAGCTTGTAGGCAGAGTGGGGTTTTGCGGGGGGTGGGGTGTGAGGAGGTCAATCCAGACATGTCATGTTTGGGATGCCTCGTGAGCAGTAAGCCATGAAAAAAGTTCAGGCTGGAGATACCAAATGAGAGTTACAGGTACGTAAGTGAAATTTAAAGCTATGAAACAGGGTAAGTGTGGAAAAGAAAGAGAAGACTAAAGACCAAGCTTTGGGGGCATTCTATTCTTAGCAGGTTGAGGAGAAGAGAAATAACCGGCAGGGGAAGCTGAGGAGGTGCCCCCAAGGAGGTGGGAAGAAAACTAGGAGAGTGGTGGTTACCTGGGAAACAAGTGAAAGTGTGTTAAGGAGGAGGGAGTGATCCACTGGGTCAAAAGCTGCTGCTAAAGGGTCAAGTCAGATGAGGGTTGAAAACTAAGATCATTGGGGACTTTGACAATAACGGTTTTATGAAAATGTAGTTGACTAGAGAAGGTTTAGATAGATTGAGAGGAGAGGAATTTGAGACAGTGAGTTTAGACAACTCATGAGGGATTTTGCCCTAAAGAAGTACAGAGAAATAGGGTAGTAGCTGACAGGGAAAATAGTGTCAAAGGAAGTGTTTTTTAAAATAATAACAGGGACGCCTGGGTGAGTCAGTCAGTTAAGCATCTAACTTCAGCTCAGGTCATGACTTTAGGGTCCTGGAATCAAGCCCCGCATTGGGCTCTGTGCTCAGCATGGAGTTGGCTTGTCCCTCTCCCCCTGTCTCTCCCTCTGCTCATGCTTGCTCTCTCTCTCTCTCAAATAAATAAATAAATAAAATCTTTAAAAATGAAATAAAACATAATAATAAAAAACAGCCAGTTTTTATGCCAATGGAAATAATCCAATGGAGAGTGTCAGATGAATTACAAGAGAAAAATACTCTTCCTAGTCCTGGAGAGAGGTGCACAGCAGAAAGGATTTGCCTTTTTTTTTTTTTCAGATGATATTTTATTTTATTTTTAAAAAATTTTTTTATTGCTATGTTAATCACCATACATTACATCATTAGTTTTTGATGTAGTGTTCCATGATTCATTGTTTGTGTATAACACCCAGTGCTCCATGCA